ATATCAACAGCATTTAGTTTTGCACTGTTTTAATTCCCTTGAACTCAATCACAGCCTGATCCGAGAGTTTCCCCTGGCGGGAGTGGACTGGCCTGGTGGGATCCTTGCTGATGAGATGGGACTTGGGAAAACCGTGGAAGTACTGGCCCTTATTCTGTGTAACACCCGGCTAAACCTGGAGCATGGCATTCTCACTTTACCTGTGGTAAGTTTACTATTGCATGTGCCCTTAAATGCATGCAAATTAGTCAAAAAAGTCTGCAGTAATCTAATTTAGGTAACACTTTACAACAAGGCCCCATTGGTTATGCATTAACCTCTTAACTTGGCTTTTAACTAGATTATTGTTGACTATTTATATTGACTGCATGCTAAAACCATCACACTATTACTTGATCTTGACAAACTGTGTATCATATAAGACACCATTGCAGTGACAGTAATTTCTTAATTTATGTCAGGAGAAAAAATCAACATGCAAAGTCAATCTGTAGTTTTTGACAATTTGAATAGAATCATTTATATTTGAGTTCAAAGTTCTTTACTAAATAGCGTCCATTAGGACATTGTTACTGTTTATTGTTACTTAGTTATCTTAGGTCTATTAAATAATATTAACATGCAACTTTTTATTTTAATAATGTATTATTAAGTGTACATTTTTGTAGTTAAATGTAGTTAACTAATGTTAGCAAATGGAACTTTATAAAGTGTAAAATCAAGGGACATTGAAATATGTCTTTGCACTTTCCAGAATTGAAACTTTTTGTTTTACTCTTGTGTCTCTGTCCTCTCCAGGGGCGATCTGTGAATTACTTTGTCCCTCCTCCACCATTAGAAAGACAACGAAACATTAAACATGAGATCAGACCCAAGGAGAAGATCATTTATCCAGGTAAAAAACAAATTCTACCAAATAAGGACATGTTCCTGGATCAACAACATCCTGATTGGTCCAGGAGCAGCATTCCTATAAACCATGTTTCATTAAACATGTCATCTGATCAGATACCCTAGGTTAAGGTAGGTTTTAAGCTGTTGTTTTATAGGATTATTATTCAAGGACTATCTAGGTTTGTTGATCCAACAACATGTCCTATTTGTATTAATAATAATCAATATAATATAAAAAATAATAAATAGCATAATAAATAAGTAATTTCATGCAATTTCTGTCATTTTCAAGCTGTTCGTGAGATGCTATTGACTGCAATTAAGGAAATGAAGGTTGGAAAAGGAGCGTCAATCAATGCCATTTTTGCTTATCTACGGACCATGTACAAGTATGACACCCTAAAGAACCGGAACCACATAAAGAAAGTCCTGACCAAGCTTATTCGTGAGAACATCGTGGAGCAGATCAAAGGACGAGGGTTAGCAGGATCCTTCAAACTG